CCTGGCAAGAGATCCTGGAAGGGAAGCACCAAACATGTAGAAAGGAACAACAGATACAAGCCATTGTAAAATATGTCAAAATAAAAGTCCATTGATGCTGTGGGAAGAAACCGTATCAAGTAGCGAGCAAAATAACCAGCTAATATCATGACAGGATCAAGTTCACACATAACAATATTAATCCCTAAAGCCAAATAATTCAAATATCCAATTAAAAGACACGACCGATAAAACTGATAAAGAGTCAAGACCAATGCTTGCTGGTATTCAGGAGACCCATCTCACATGCAGAGACACACATAGGCTCAAAAGAGGATGGAGAAGACGGAAGGGCAAACGATAACAAAAAAAGTAGGCTGTACCCTGCCCTGGACAAAACAGACTTTAAACCAACAAGACTGCAAAGAGACAAAGAATGCCACCAAGTATAAATGGTAAAAGGGATCAACTAACAAGAAGAGCTAACTATCCTAAATATATATGCACCCAATACAGGAGCAACCTCAGATTCATAAAAGCAAGTCCCTAGAGACTTCATAAAGAGACTTGTACCCACAATAAGAAAGAGACTTTAACACCCCACCGTCAACATTAGACAGATCAATGAGATAAAAGTTAACAAGGATATCCAGGAATTGAACTCAACTCAAAACCGGTGGACTCCATTAGACACTAATAGAACTTCACCCCAAAATCAAATATAACAGGTTATTTTTCTGGCACCACATCGTAGATTCCAAAATTGACCACATAGTTGAAAGTAAAGTACCCTCAGCAAACAAAAAGAACAAGAAATTATAAATAAAACCCCCTCCTTAGACTACAGTGCAATCAAACTAGAACTCAGGACTGGAGAAACTCAATCAAAACCACTCAACTACATGAACTTGGAACAAACCTGTTCTGAATGACTACTGGTACACATAATAAAAATGAAGGCAGAAATAAAGATGTTCTCTTTGAACTGGAGAGCCAAAGATACAAACATACCAGAATCCTTGGGACAATAGTTTAAAGGGTGTGTAAGAGGGAAACAGAAGTAACAATGCCCAGCAAGAGAAAGTAAGAAACATTTAAAATATACCCCAAATATCAACAAAAGAACTAGAGAAGCAAGAGCAAACACATTCAAAAGCTACCAGACGGCAAGAAATAACCCAGATCAGAGCAGAAACTAAAGGAGATGAGACACAAAACCCCAAAATCAATGAATCCAGGAGCTGGTTTTTTGAAAAGATCAACAAAATTCTGGATAGATCACCAACAAGACTAACAAAGAAGAAAAGAGAGAAGAACCAAATAGATGCAAATAAAAATGATAAAGGAGACATCACTGACCTACAAATACAACCAACATTGGGAGAATAAACACTTATGCTAATAAACTAGAAACCTGAAGAAATGGTAATTTCCAGACACTTATACTTCCCGCACTAAACCAGGCAAAGTTCAGTCTGAATAGACCACACAGCAGGTCTCTCTGAAATTGCAGGCCACTAATAGCCTACCAACGAAAAAAGTCCAGGACTCAGATGGATTCACAGCCAATTTAACAGAGGAAAAATAAAGCAGAGTGTTGAAAAATTATTCTTCTGAAACTATTCCAATCAATAGTAAAAGAGGGAATCCTCCCCAACTCATTTTACGAAGCCAAATATCATCTCTGACAACAAGTCTGACAGAGATACAACAAAAAGAGACTTTGGGGACCAATATCCCCGATGAACATTGATGCAACAATCCTCAATAAAATACTGGCAAACCGAATCCAGCAGCACATCTAAAAGCTTATCCACCATGACCAAGTGGACTCACTCCTGATGCAAGTAATTGGTTCGGTCATACGCAAATTCAAACGTAAAACCAGTATATATAAACAGAACCAAAGACAAAACCACAAGGATTATTCCTAATAAATGGCAGAAAAGGCCTCCACAAAATTCAACAGCCCCTTCATGTCAAAAACTCTCAATAAATTTGCATTAGCTGGAACGTATCTCAAAATCACAAGAGCTGTTTTAGACAAACCCCCCAGCCAATATCATACTGAATGGGCAAAAACTGGAAGCATTTGAAAATTGGCACAAGACAGGATGCCCCCCTCTCACCAATTCCATTCAACATAGTGTTGGAAGTTCTGGGCCAGGGGCAAACTGTGGGCAAAGAGAAAGAAATAAAGTATATTCAGTTAGAAAAGAAGAAGTCAAATTGTCCCTTGTTTGCAGATGATATGACTGTATATTTAGAAACCCTGTTTGTCTTCAGCTCAAAATTTTAAGTTGATAAAGCAACTCTCCAAAGTCTCAGGATATAAAAATTACCAGCTGAAAAACCACAGCATTTCTTAGATAACAATTCAAAATAGACAAACAGAGAGCCAAATCATAAATTAACCCCATTCACACATAGTTTCAAAGAGAATAAAATACCTAGGGAACTAACCTACAAGGGGATGTAAGGACCCTCATGAGAACTACAAAACCACCGCTCAGTGAAATAAGAGGACACAAACAAATGGAAGAACATACCATGCTCATGGATAGGAAGAATTAATATCATGAAATGGCCATACTGCCTAAAGTACTTTATAGATTCAATGCCATGCCCATTGTTACCAATGACTTTCTCTCCAGAATTGAAAATCAGTTTTTAAAGCATCATGGGAATCAAAAAGGCCCACATTGCCAGGACAATCCTAAGCCAAAAGAACAAAGCTGAGGTATCATGCTACCTGACTTCAAATCATACCAAGCACAGTAACCAAAACAGCATGGTACTGGTACCAAAACAGATAAAGCACCAAATGGTATCAGAACAGAGCCCTGTGAAATACTGTCACACATCTACAGTCATCTTGACAAAACCTGACAGCAAGAAATGGGGAAAGGATTCCCCATTAATAAAAGATACTGGGAGAATTGGCTAGCCATGAGGTGGTGGCCGATACTGACCTTCTGAACTCCCCGTAAGTGGTACCACTTAAGATGGATTAGAGACTTAAATGTTAGACCTAAAACCATAAAAACTCTAGAAGAAACCTAGGTAATACCATTCAGGACATAGGTACAAGTGCGACCTAAGTGTCTAAACAGCAAAAAGCAATGGATAAACAAAGCCAAAATTGACAATGGGATCAATTAAATAAAGAGCTCTGCAACAGCAAAAGAAACCATCATCAGAGGAATAGTACAAACTTGACAGAAATTATACTTTGTACCTACTTTGGCCTTAAGCATGTTGGCTGGTCATCCAGGAACCACAAGAACTCAAACAAATACTGTGAAAAAACAAACAACTCATCAAAAAGTATAAAAGTGATATGGAACAAACACCTCTCACAAGACAGTCATACAGCCGACAGACACATGAAAATACTTCATTAATACCACCATCAGAGAAAGTAAAAATCAAACTCAATAATGAGATACCATCTCACACCAGTTAGGAATGGCAAATCATTAAAAAGTCAGGAAACAACAGGTGCTGAGAGGGGATGTGGAGAAATAGAAACACTTTACACCGTTGGTGGACTGCAAACTGCCCTAACCATTGTGGAAAACAGTGTATGATTCCTCAAGGACCTAGAACTAGAAATACCATTTGACTCCAGCCATTCCATTACTGGGGATGAATTAAAGGATTATGTAAGTCACATAAGCAAAGCATTACAAAACATAAGGTTTAAGCTGCAGCACTGTTCAAAATAGCAAAGACTTGGAATCAACCCAAATGTCCATCAGTGACAGACTGATTAAGAAAATGTGGCACATATACACCATGGAATACTATGCAGTCATAAAAAGGATGAGTTCGTAGTCCTGCTGTAGGGACATGGATGGCCAAGTCCATCACTCTCAGCAAAACTATCGCAAGAACAGAAACCAAATACCGCAAGGTTCTCACCATAGGTGGGAATTGAACAAATGAGATCACTTTTTGGACACAGGAAGGGAAACACACACCAGTCCTGTTAGGTGGGGAGGGAGCAAGTAAGCTAGGGAGATATACTCTTAACAAAGGACAAAGCACAGGCACACCAACATATAGCCATGTGGGTACATTAAGAATAAACCCGTATATTGTGCACATGTATCCCAGAACTTAGGGGGCATAATAAAAAAAATAGGAGTCAGCATGTCACACGGTGAGAACAGAGAGAGGGGAGAAAGAGAGCAAGAAAGAGAAGGCAGGCTTGAACAACCAGCTCTTGTATGAACTAATACAGTGAGAAATCACCCATCACCAAGGGGATAGCACCAAACCATTTATGAGAGATCTGCCCCCATGAGGCCTCACCTCCAACAATTGGGGATCATATTTTCAACATAATTTTGAGGGACGTGAAACATTCAAATCATATCAGAACTCCATGTTATTGCTCACCCCCAAATCTCTAGGGGTGACATCGAAAGGACATGCACTGTACTGGAAAGATGTTTGGTCAGGCTCTCCCAGTGAAGCCCAAGCGCCCTCAGGGTACAGGGGCTGGGAGGCCCAATCACACCAGCTGAGCCCAGATTGTTGAGGCTGCCCTGGCATTACAAGACAGTAGGCCCAGAACCGGGCTGGAACAAAGACCAGGCCACTTTGTGTATGCTGCCAAAAACTGGAAGAAATCAGAAGTGAGCAGTAAAGCCAGTGGTCCCGTGGGTCACAAGTAGCAAAAATGGGAATTGGGGGTGGGTAGAGGCTGGAAGAGTTCTGAGGTATGTGTTAGAAAAAGTTTAGGTTTCTGAAGACCACAAAGAAATTGGACACAAAGGTGATCCCGATGGGGCCTGGAAAGAGAGGTGAGCTGTAGAGAAACATCTGTCATCTTAGAGAATACAAGGAATTGTCACAAAACAAAATATAAGGTTGCTAGAAATGTGAATGTTAAAGGTGCCTCTGATGAGGCTCCAGACAGAAGTGAGGAACGGTTATCGAAAACTAGAAGAAAGGTGACCCCTTTGTTATAAAGTGGCAGCAATTTATTGAAACTGTTTTCTCTGTCTTGTGGAAAGTAGAAATTATACATGATGAACTTGTGACGTTTAGCTGAGGAAGTTCCTGAGAAAATTGTTGAAGGCATTCCTGATTTCTCCTTGCAGCTTACAGTAAAATGTGAGAAGAGAGAGACCAGCTGAAGAGGGAAGTGCTGAGGTGGCTGGGTCAGCTGACCCAAGGGCCCTTCGAGCGGATGTAGGCTGCTCACCTCGGTCTCAGAGTCACCATGGCCGTGGCCAGTCAGTCACAGGCGATCCAGCAGCTGCTGCAGGCTGAGAAGCAGGCTACCAAGAAGGTGTCCTGGGCCCACAGGCAAAAGAACCAGAGGCTGAAGCAGCCCAAAGAAGCAGCTCAGGCTGAAATTGAACAGCACTGCCTGCAGAAGGAGAAACAGTTCAAGGCCAAGGAAGCTGCAGCACTAGGATCTCACAGACCCAGGATGACCATCCTCCAGACCTACTTCCAGCAGAGCAGGGAAGAAGTCTTAGATCAACTTTTGGCCTTTGTCTGCGGCATCCTGCCAGAAATCCCTGAAAACTATCACATAAATGGATAAGAAAAGAGAAGCACCTCTTCCATGGATTGGCATTTTAGATGCCCTCATGGAATAAGAAGCTCTAGTTATATTCTTAGAAGAAGACATTAACTTATTATATAGTAGGTCCATTCACTTTTTGGAGAGAAGCAAAACTAGTTTCTTCGTACAGACTTAGAATTTATCTAGGCTGGGCATGGTGGTTCACGCCTGTAATCCCAGCACTTTCGGGAGCCAAGGCGGGCAGATGGCTTGAGCTCAGGAGTTTGAGACCAGCCTGAACCACATAGTGAGACTGTGTCTCTACAAGAAAATATAAAAATTAGCCAGATTTGGTGGTACATGCCTATAGTCCTAGCAACTTGGAAGGGTGAGGCAAGAGGATCACTTGGGCCCAGAAGGCAGAGGTTATAGTGAGCCAAGATCATGCCACTGCACTCCAGCCTGGGTGCTAGAGTGAGACCCTGTCTCAAATAAAACTTATCTAAAGATTTCATCTTTTTACCTCATGTTTCTTAGGAATATAATGGGTAAATATTGTCTATTTTATTATGCTGTTTGGTTCAAGCAATATATATACATACACATATATATATCACTGTTGACTTTTTCTGTCTTATATCAAGTTTAAAAGAAAAAACAAAACAATCCTTTGAAGAAAGGAAGGAACTAAATCACTTTCTCCTTAATGCTTTTCTGAAGGTCAGGGGCTTTATCTATGAAAAAGTAGCAGTTTTTATAACCTGTGTGAAGCATCAGCCAGCCTTAAAGTAGTCCATTCCTGCTAATAACTAGAACAGTGAATACCACTAAAATAATTGCTTCAGCTTCTTAATCAAAATTACTAGATGATAGAATTCAAGAACTTGTTACATCTTATTACTCAGTGTACTAATAATCATTTAAAAGTAAAGACTGGCATGCAAAAAAAAAAAAAAAAAATGAGGCCAGACAAAATAAAGAAAGAGAGACTTTGAGATCAGAACCACAGGTGAGGAGGCTGTTGGGGCTGCTGTGGCCACCATGGCCCAGAGCGTGGGGCCACCCCAGTGGGCCTGGAAGATGGAGCATTAACTGAGGAGGATGAATCTTGAGCCTTAAATCTAATAAAGGGCCAACTAGAAGCCCCTAGTGCTCATCATCCTTATAAAGACAGCCAGAACGGTGAGTACACAACCCTATTTTAATGAAAATAACTGAGGGAGAGCACTGAGTGCATCAGAGGAGTAACAGAAACCCTGATACGCACAGAGATGTGGGCTGGCCACATAGACAACAGAAGGAAACACACAGCCTCCACCACTCCTTCGCCCAACCAGGATTATCTGGGAATCCGGAGGAACTTCTGACATGAGGAGGTAAGCAAGAGGATCCCAGCGGCACCCACTAACACCCTGGACACCTGCAGACCTCGCCACTGCGGTCCCCTGCAGTTTGCACTAGAGGGAGTTGCCGGGAGGCCACACAGCTGTGCTCCTCAAAAAAGGTGCTCACACCGTACCCCACTCTCACATGGCTAGTGCTTCACTACACTGGAAAAGGAACTATGGTTGGAGTGTGTCTTACTCGAGGAGTCGGTAGCCACAGCTCCCCGTCATCCCTGAAGCTAAGCTGCCACTGAACAACCCAGACTAGTGGCCCGATGTCTCCAAGTCAAGGTAAGGGTCTATTAAACCCTTCCTCCCAGAGTCAAGTGGATCAGCTCCACCCACCCCTCCCCCAACCCTCTGAGTCGAAGCTAAAGCAGTTTCTTGCCTCCTAGCAAAACAAGACTTTGGCCATGCAGAGGAATCATGCCTTTCTAGTGTCTACATTGAAGCATCACCCTGCATCCCTGGAAATAATGCCTTGGCCACCCAGAAGGTCACACGCTGCAGTACCTAGGCTGAAGCAGCAACCTGTATCCTACGGAAATGGTGCCTGGAACACTCAGAACAATCACACCCACTGATACGTAAATGCAGGCCTTTCCTTACAGTGGAGAGGCCTGAGCTGAAGCCACACATCACCCTCTAGGGAATCAGTGCCCTGGCTTAAGCTGAGCAGCAGCACATCCCAAGGCTGAGCTGATACAACACCCTATGTCCCAGGGAAACAGAGCAGTGGCTAAGCTGAGACATCTCACCTGACAGGGTAAACAACTGTAGTGCCCTGCTTCCCTGGAGCTTGCCTAGGCCCCTAGAGTCTGAGCTGCTGAGGCACCTTCTCCCTGGGAAGTAGAATCAGCACTGTGCTGTTCCCTGCCTGCCCCCTACCAAGGCCCAAATTACAGCTATGCTCTGCCATCCTGGGATACCTGCTGCCACTGTACCTGGTCTCACAGAGTCTGGGATCCTGCTGAGCCCCACCATCCTAGGGTCTACAGTCAATACCACACAGTGCCTCATCCCCTGGGACCAAAGTTTACATTGTGCCCTATTGGTTCAGTTTCTCAAATTGCAGCCATCCCTTATTCCCCAGGTCCACACCCCCAGAACACCCCTTCTTTCCCAGAGTTGGACCAATGCTGCACCCCCCAGGAGTAGACTCACAGCTGTAACCTGACCCCTTGAGCAAAAACTGTTAAGGGGTGCCTCAAAGTCACAGATCCTAGCACTGTGAGCAACCTAATCCAACCTTGCCACAGAAACTGAACCTACACCCCAAGACCCAGGTGCCACAGCAGGTTCTTGAAACCAGGAGACTAGGACCCCAGCTGCCCCCAGCTACTCTAATTTTCTGCACCTGGAACCCAGCACCATTGCAGCTGCGTTGATACATTAGACCTGCCACTGAGAGAAAGTCCCTTGACTAGTCTCCTCATTGTGCAGAAACAAGAAAGAAGAGGACTCCAAAGCCCTGGACACTGAGTACATTAAAAACCTATGCTGCGGCTACATCCACACAGCCTAGGCCACTGGGTGCCCACAGTTACTGCTGAAGCTGAATGCAGTTGAAGAAGATGCACGGAGGCAATGCCACTGCACCTATTCAGAAACAGAGTCATCACACTTACACATAGCAAAACACTAAACCCAACTGCAGGTGAAATTCTTTTTCTAAAATCCCACTCTTGAAAGTTTGGAAGGGTATGACTATTTCCGCCAGATGCACAGACATCAATGCAGGAACACAATAAACAAGAAAGCAAGGAAATATGATACCACCAAGGAACATGACTCTCATTAATAGACCTCAGCGAAAAGAAATCAATATATTACTGGAAAAAGAATTCAAAATAATGGTCTTCAGATAACTTTGATCTTCAGATCACTCAATAAAATACAAGATACAAGAAAACAGATAAAAACATTTAATGAATTCAGGAAAGTAATTTACAGTATGAATCAAAAATTCAACAGAGATAGAAATAAAAAAAGACTTAAACTAAAATTCTACAGGTGAAGAATTCAATGAATAAAATTTAAAAATACGGTATTATTGAAGCTTCAACAGCAGATTTGATCAGAGAAGAAAGGAAGAGATAGACCCCAATACAATGGTAGTTGAGAACTTCAACACCACTTTCAGCACTGAACAGATAATCTGGACAGAAAATCAACAAAGAAGCATTCAATTTAAAAGCACTTTAGACCAAATGCATCTGACGAATATTTACACAACATTTCATCCAACAGCTGTGAAATACACATTCTTTTGTCTCATTTTGCCCTGTGCCATGAAGGCCGGGCTGTTAGTGTTGTATTGTCAGGGTGAGGGGAGGCCACCTGGGGAGACTTAGCCTATCTGCTGCTGCTATCAGTTCAGAAACAAAGGAAAAGGCGTGACTGCGTTCTTTTTTATTGTACGTGTATTTTCATGACTCAGCTTCCCAGCTCAACTTTTCTTTTTGGCATAATGAGTTTGGAGTCTTGAGATTTTATTTCCCTTTCACAATGGTCAAGGTCACACCCTCTGTATTCATGAAGGCTGGTCCTGCGGACCCCTGCCATCCCTGGATGCTTTCCAAATGAGTACTGCAGTCTCTCTGGCACTCTTTCACCATTGTAGAAACTGAGGCAGGGAACCTGCAGCCCTTGCATGCTCTCCCATGGGGACAATGCCAGGCTGGAACCCACATTTCCTGACCCCAAAACTCCTGTTCCTTTCCCACTCACCCACACCACCTTTATGAGTCCAGAACATTGTCCTTGCCTGGAGTCCTACCCTCCAGGACAGGGAGCTCAGCCACCAGCACATCACACCTGAGAGGTCCCTTGAGCCCAGACAGGTTTGGAGAGCACAGAAGCACCGGAAGCTCTGTGGAGGGGCTGCACATTTCTTTCTATTCAACACATACTCACCAGGTGGCCACCAGCAGAAGATGTTGTCACACGGCATGGAGCTCACCTGGGCCAACTTAGAACAGGTGTGGGGTTGGGAGGCATTCCCAGGGCACTGGTTAAAGCAGGCTATGGGGAAAAGTTGCACGAAACCAACCTCCAAGATCTGCTCGTCAACACCTGGTCTCCTGCCCTCCAGGGCCACAGAATACTAAGCTTCCTGAATACTGAGGCTGGATGGGGCCATGGGGAGAAGAAATCTCAATGAGTTAAGGAGTCATTTTAAAAAAATATTATGATCATGACTCACATAAACATGATGACACATTTCAGAGATGCTCTTTATCTCATTAGTGGAGTGCTACAACCAAAGAGAATTCAAATTACTACACGTATATAATTGGGTAAGAATGGTAAAGGCATTCATAAATAGATGCAAAATTGCCCTTTTCCCTGGAAGGTGAGGAGGAATCCATTGTCCTTCCAAAGGTATTTGAAATTTGAACTTCTACCAATTCAAGAGTTTTGCATCGCTATCAATTATCTACAGCTTGAGCAGTGGTCCCCAAGCACTTTTGGCACTAGGAACTAGCTCCATGAAAGATGACTTTTCTGAGCAGGATCGGGGGGATGGCTTCAGGGAGCCAGCTATTTCCACCACTACATCATTAGGCATTAGGGTCTCATAAGGAGCCAATGTAGGTCGCATGAATCTGCAGTTTGCAATAGTGTTCGCTGCTATGAGAATCTAACAGGTAC